TTCATGTCTGATGCGCAGATTGCTGCTGTCTGCACGGAGCAGGGGTTGGGCACCATAGGGGCCATAAGGGGTGGGGGCAGGGGTGGGGCGACACCAACCCCAATCCGCAGCGGAGGTTACGTGGGCGGTATGGGTGAGGGGGGGGGGGGTTGGGGGGGGGGGGGGGGGGGGAGGCCCGGGACCCGAGAGCATATGTATGTGTATATATATATATATACATATGTATGAGCCCGACGCCTTTAGGGTTTATTTAGCTAGCTTTTTGTATATACAATACGAAATGCTTAGCTAAATATTATATATACAAGTTATACGTTGCACAAACATAACTCCGAAAAGTTTGAGACATGCCGTGAGATATAGTTTAACATTGAATTGTCTTACATTTCGGAAGATTGACTTATCAACCGGCATCCATACTGGCGGTATAAAATATCCTACGTGACAATCCGTTTGTTGCCATCATGAAACCGGAAATGGATTGCTAGCAACAACAAGCATCTATCAAATCACAAGCAAGCGGGCAGGTACACTATCTGTTCTTACAGTTGGATAAGGATCAGGATGGTCATACATAGTACACTTGGATGCTTTGTGTTGGTCTTTGTCGTTCCTTTGGTGTGATTCCAATATTCTAACTTCAACATCAACTCCAAACCCCCAGCACGTTGACAAGCACTGTGATCACGCAAATATGATAAATATAATAACAAAGGATGACACACGTAAGATTTTGGAAGAAGTTCCGGGAACAACTCGTCGGAAAAATGTGGTTCAATCCTCTCCTTTGCTCGTGGCCCAGAACCAAAGGACAAGGAGAAATGAACACACATATCTGCATTGAAAGGGAACACCTATCCTTTGCGTGTCCGATAAAACCAAAAGACAAAGAGAAGTGAACACACATACCTACATTGAATGGGAACAGTACCTACAAACTTATAACTGGGCAAGCAAAGATTATAAAGATCACACACATATGATAAAGATAATACAAAAGGATGATACACATAAGATATTGGAAGAAGTCCCGGTAACAGCTCGTCGGCAAAATTCGGTCCAATCCTCTTTGCTGCCATTTCCTTGGTTACCTGTGGGAAATGACAGCGGAGAGGATTGGACCGAATTATGCCGACTAGCCGTTCCCATTGCTTTCTTGATGTTACCGATGGGAAATGTCAGCAGAAAGGATTGTACCAAATTTCGGCAGGCAAGTAAAGATGATAAAGATGACACGAATGTGCTAAAGATAACAAACAAAGATGATGCACAGAAGATTGTGGAGGAAATTCCGGAAACAGCTCGTCGGCAAATTCTGGTATAAGCCTCTCTGCAGTAATTTCCTTGGTTACCGGAAGGAGATGACTGCAGAGAGGATTAGACCAGATTATGCCGACGAGCTGTTACCAGTGCTTTCTTGATGTTGCCGACAGGAAATCGGAAATGACAACAAGAGGAACAGCGAAGATGATAAAGATGATAAGGATGATACAGACGATAAGGCAAGGCAGGGAGCATGGGCAGGAGGGACGGGGAGCAGCCGAGTGGAGGGAGGAAAAGGGAGGGAGGGAGTCACAAGACCTATGCTCCGAATAGTTTAAGACCACCTGAGGTTTATAAGAATATTCTGAATATATATATATATATATTCACATAACACCACTGCATACTAAGATAATGTTCTACGATTCGCTTTCAAGGCTTGTATATATCGAAGCTTTGTCTGAGATGAAAGGTGTTGTTTTTCAGCATGCCAGACATCGTGTCCTGGGAGTAACATGCTGCCAGTCACACAAAAGCGTAAACATATAGGCGATATTCTTTCTTATGAACAGGAAGCTAAGTCACGGCAAGAATACAACATCCGTGTGACATCTACTATACCCTCTCGCAATACGCGATACAAGAGCCTCAAAATTATAAGACTGAGGACACGGCATTGTTCACCGATAGACCCCATGCATAAGATTACTCATAACGTCAGCACCAACGGTAGTATCAACATATTCGTGTTATGCTTTCGAAGCTACTATTGTATTGTGCCGTGTCTTGCACCATTCAAGCTAAACACACAGTATATGAGCCCCTAAGGCCCTAAGCCGACACATAAAGCAATAAATGCTTCATGAAAGGGCCACACAAACTGTATCTATGATTTCAACTGTATGTCTTATTGTGTACGATTTCGGATATAGTCTTGTCATACGTTCGGTACTCCGATATGGTGTCGCGCTCTGCTGCATACCACTCAAGTTGTAAAATACAACATATGAGCCTATGAACGTACAGATAGAACACTAAAGACGTGGTGAAAGGAACACAAGAAAAGGGTACCTATGACTATACTTTATATATTACATTGTTTGCGATTTGGGATATCATATTATCCTACGTTCTATACCCGGATTTGATACTGTGCTATGACTTACAACACTCATTTTATGAAATACAACATGTAAGCCTATCAACCAACAGATATAACACTCAACACTTGATGAAAGCAACACAACACCCGGCATCTATGACTATCTTTTGTATAATTTAGTGTGTATTTTTTCGAGTATGATATTGCACCTGTTTTATAGCATGTAAATTACAATATACAACATTTGAACCAATAGCCCTACAAATACAACACTAAAGACTTGGTGGGAACTCCACACAAACGATATCTATGACTATGTTCATATATTACATTGTTTACTGTTTCGAGTATGATATTGTCGTACACTTTATACCGCTCATATCACAACATACAACACAAAGAGTCGTTCGATAGCACCAAATTTTCAGAATATGGTATTCGGACAATTTGGTGCTAACGAACCGCTTTGTTTTCCCGCAGTGATGAAAAAGAGCGATTCGATGGCACCGAATTTGCACACATAGGCTTCTGGAGATTCGGGTGATAAGAAGGTGATAAAAAGGTGAAGGTAATAAGAAGGTGATACGAAGGATCCCAGCCATGTAAATAATTGAAATGACTGAAATATATGATACTGGAATTAAACATCGCAAGGAGTGTCCCCCTAAGTTTGCTGTACGAAAATATGATCCCAGGATTCAAAATCGCAACGGAAGTCCACCTAAGTTTTTTTTATCAATACATGATCACAAAATTCAAAAGCGCAAGGGGTGTCCCCCTTGGTTTTTTATCAACAGATGATCCCAAAATTGGAAATCGCACGGGGTGTCCCCCTAAGCTCCACCCCACTCCCCACCCGGGCCAGGTCCGGCCAGGTCTCCCCCCGTTTCAATACTTGAAATAATTAAAATCGGGCCTATTTCAATTATTTCAATTCTTTCGGGTCCCCCACAATTGAAATAATTGAAAACCAGTTCTTTCGGATGTTGGGGGTGGAGATCCCCCACCATTTCAATAATTGAAATAATTGAAATCCCGTTCCTTCGGATGTTGGGGGTGGAGATCCCCCACCATTTCAATAATTGAAATAATTGAAATCAGGCCTATTTCAATTATTTCGGGTCCCCCCCGAATTGAAATAATTGAAATAAGCTTTTGTGTTTTTAAGTATTTCAATTGTTTTAAATATTTCAATTCTACTTACTTATAATAATTACAAGTACGCGTCAAATAGACCCTAAAGGCTGCTCTCTCTCTCTCTCTCTCTCTCATGTATATATATATAAATATATATATACTCCCTGAACGGACCTGAGCTCCCAGCACCTCAGCACCCAAAGCTCCAACCCCCCCCAACCCGAAAGCGCCCCCAACAAACACTCCCGAGCCCACCTGCTCATCGAAGAACTCGCGCGCAGCGCTTCCCGGAACTGCAGCCATGGCCAGGAAGATCGCAGCCTGCCGGGGCTTCAGAGTGCAGGGCGTATAATGCTGCTTAAAGTTTCGGATGCAAAGAGAAGCTGAGGGCTTGGGCTGAGAGGTTGGAAGGAATTTAGCCAGCTTTGGGTGTAAGTCGGAGTAGAGGCTAGGTGGCGTCACATGATGTCGGGTGCACAGGCATTGCTCTGCACAGGCTTTGTGAGTCTCAAAAAATCGAACCTCGAAGCTGAAAACCCTACCATGCCCGAAACATTTCCTTTATCCAGGCAGGCCATGAACAAACAGCGAAGCCAGGACCCGGATGGTTAAACTCGAGTCGGTAACTAGTTGCACCACATGAAATGCAGGATTGCTTGATTCGTAGAACATTATTGAGCCTTCTAGGCTACGGATGAACCTTAAACCTTGCTGTAGGTTCCTTACTACTTGGAACTCGGTCAGGTTTTGAGGTACATTATATTCCATGATTATCATCAGGAACCAAAAGGAATATCAATTATTATCTGGGCTTCTATGTTAAGCCCTGAAGCCGGCGATTGAAACATTGGGGGGGGTGCTTCCGGCAATGAGCGACTCGATTCCATAATAAACAGTTTAGTGCTTCTCGGCTCAGGGATTGAACAGCACAGCATTTGAGGTTCAATTTCGGAATTGGTCCCTATGCCTCCAGAAGCGGGGCAGAGGGTGAGGGGGGTCTTCTAGCAGGGTCTTCTTGCAGTAACCCGAAAAGCCAAACAAGCCCAAGCCCTGAACCGCCTGAACGTGAACCTTGCACCCGAAGCCGTGCCTTCTGCCCTGTTCAGAAGCCTTTGGGGACTGTCCCGGAGCTGCTGAGGCGAATGGCACGGCGAGGCGCAAGCGTTCGAAATGTTTAGGGGCGGCGAGCTGTCGAAATCTACGACGAATCTACGACGACAAGTCCCGGATATCTTGACTTAAAAGTGGATCTGTCCAACCTGCCGCAGTGTCTACGCGCTAAAAATCCGCAAAAGTGGGGCCCAAACCCCAAAACCCTTGTCTGAGAATGACCTCTATGGATGCAGCAGAGGAAATGCGCAAACACACGAATACGCCTGCCCAACACATCGATGTGCAGAGGCACGAGCTCCACAGCAGAATCCACACAATGATGCTTCTGGGGTCAACTGTCAACAGAGCCCTCAGACAAGGCCCCTCAAATCCACATCCCCAGACTCTCTAGAAAGGTTCAGGGTTTCGGGTTGAAACCGAGGCCTTGAACCAGGCCTGAAGCCTGCTCCTCTCTTTCTTTCATTGGGCGTTGGGGGCGTCTGAAACCCCCTGGCCTGGTGGCCCCCCATGTGTTAGGTACGGGGGGGCAGGGGTGCAAGTAGTTTAGGGTATGATGTCTACGTGAGCGGCATCGGGGGAATTGCACAAGACATTCGAGTAGAGGATAGTTTACAGGCAAGTCTCGAAGATTCGTGCGCATCAGAAGAGGCTTCGGGGTTCTCGGTGCAGGGCTTTGGGTCCGGGCTCACAGCCGGGACTGTGTTTGGGCTGTGAGCTTAGAAATCAGGATCCTTGCAATCCGACACCCGAGGACCAAACTCGCTCAGCTGGGCAAACTCCAAGCTTCGATCTGTCAACCTCCAACTGCGCCCCAACTCAGCGCACAGATGGGGTCTGAACTCCCCCGACCGCGGCGTAGACGATGGCTGAGCCGTATGGCAAGCCTGAAAAGCCGTTTCTCGGACTTCATAATTTAGGCTGCTGGGTTGACGGCTACGGGCAACGGGTACGGGTACAGGGTGTGTTTGGGGCTGAAGGGGAAGAGGTTGCCGTGCCTCAGGATTGTGTCACAAGACTGAACGAAAATTGCAGGACGGTCTCCTTGGTCTTGCGGGGTGTAGCAGAATCAGGCAGAGCTTCCCCCCCTTCGGAGTGCAGATTTGTGTTGCAACTGCAACCCTGAAAGCCAAAGAACCCGAGAGCCTAAACCCTCCATCAAGACCCGTAGTTACCTCGCGATGGGGTTGCGGCCGAAACACAAAGCTGCCTCGAATCACAGGATATGCTTTGGAGGGATGTGAGAGGCATGTGCACGATTATTTTGTGCAGCCAAATTCTTAGCCTTGCAAACCTCAACACTTCTTCAACGGTGAAATTTTCGGGCATGTAGCACTCATTCCTGAGGAACGTTTCGATGATCTCACTCCAACCAGCGGTCCTTAGCCGGGCTGTTTTGAGCCAAGGGATAGACCAAGGCGCTCAAGGAGGGTCCAAGCGTCCACGGGATGAAAGAGGAGGCGAGGTGCGGAGAGGGCACAGTCAAATTGTATGAAGACGCACGCAGGGTGTCGTTGGCTTCGCAACTTGATGAATTATAAGGTAATTTGCACAGTGTGTCATTACTTGTTTTGATCTATGTCTGCGTCTCTTTGAAAACTGAAACCTGCTGCAGAAATGCTAAGAACCCAACTACTTGTGAGCTGAGTATATTCGCATCCCGATCTCGTCTAGACTCGAGACACTTTTTAGCCTTGAATTCATTCGAGGATCCCGGTCCTGTTCGCGAAGCACTCTCTTGAACGGGTGACTTTCGCACATGGCCAAGTACGCACTTGAATACCTTTGTTACTTTTGGGAGGAATGGACACAGGGTTTCGGATAGGAGGTTTCTGTTACGGGTGCAGACGTCATGCTAAAAGCCGCTACCATCAAGGTTGAGGGGTCAGCTTCGGTAAAGCCCATACCACGTTCCCAATACTTCCCCACCGGCTTCCTCCTTCTCATTCGAAGGCAAACGGGAAGGTCTCTCACGGCTTTGCTAGCAAGAGGCCTGGCGCCAATCATGTTTTTTTATCTGGCACTCTTGGCATGAACCTCCATGAAACCTCACGGTTTGACCGTGAGGACTGCACGCAGACGGACTGCCAAAGTCGCATCTACACTATCTGGACAGCCATGGGCTCACCCCACCCACACTCCCACTCCCGCTCTCTCTTGTTTGCTTGCTTGCTACCGGCTCTAGAGGAACTTACCCATTGGCAAGCCCCCCCAAGCAGCGCGCAGCCGAGTCCACAGTTCCTCAAGGCTTGCAGGTCCTTGCGGTTGCCTTGGGTCGGTGTGAAACTGCGTGTTCCCCTCCGATGTCGTTGAAGCAGTCAACACAGCAGTCTTCGAAACAAAACAGGTTCGAAGTTCGGAGGTCTTGGTTGTGTGGTAGACCCCCCCACAACATGAGTAGTGATAAAACCCCCCGCCTGATCCCCACCGAAAGTACCCGAACCTTGCGCACTCACTGCCTGGCCTACCTGCCTTCCTGACCACCGTAGCACTAGTCTGGGCGGGTCCCCCTTTGGGGGAACTCAGGCGCATTTTGCCCGCTGGCATCTCAGTTCATGTCTCTCAGTTCCTCTGGAGAGGTCTTCGTCGGCGAAGAGGGGGTCGCCAGTTGCTTGGCTCCCCCGAGGCCCGTCTCTCTCTGCGCGATTTCGTGGGTTTAAGCCACTTTCCATGAGCGCAGCCACCCGCGCTGTGGTGGAGCGCAAGTCCTCTTGTCGACGGGCGTCCATGGCGGTTGACACCCTGAGCACCTTCGCTGCAAGACTCCCCCTTGGTAGCTCATGGGGAGGGTGGCAACTTCACAGTCAAGCTCCTCACTTTCACGGTGCTTCCCCGTTGCATCTTGATCATCTCCCCGCGTTGGCTGTCTGCTTGTTGCGTTGCCATGTCCCCCTGCGCGGTGTCTCGTCCACCACAACTTCTTCCTCACTATCTTTTCCCCCGACTCCTGTCTCCTTCTTGAGGCCCGCCATGACATGCTGCACGAGTATGTCTTGTTCCAGGTCGGTTGCGGGGCTCGTGTAGGTAGGAGGCGTTGGTTTTCCCCCAACTTTGACTTCGTCTTGTGACTCTGAGGTACTCAACCCCCACTCTCGCTTGCGCCCCTCTGCATCGAGCCCTTGGAAAACTGCTGCCAGGGCTGCGTTGCTTGGCCACACGTTCTGGAAGTGGATACTGTGTGGCTTTCTTTCCGGGTTGTGGCAGGGGCTAGGTTGGCAATTTTGGGTTGTTTCCCGGTGGACCACGGAACGTCGTGTTGGTGGATGAAGTTGGGCATGAGATCACGCCATTGTTGTCCGTTAAGTGCTGTTTGCATCCACGAACCCCCTCCCCCCTGTGCGTGTGAGCGCTCTCTCCACGTCTAAGCTGCTGCTGAACCGGCCAGCACGCGTAATCCCCCGCTTGCCTTTGCTTTGTTCACTCCACCACCATGCGAGGTTCTTCCACGTGATCATGGATCGCACTTCATCTCCCCCCACAGGCCATGTGTCCCCCAAGCGCCCAAAGCCTCTGTAGAATGAAGCTGCTCCATCGGGTTGAGCTATGTTTGCGAAGTTGGACACGGGCCTGCCTGAGGCTGCGTTGATGCCAGTCAGCCCATGCTTCCCCCGCCCTCCGGTTGAGGTGGAGCATTTGTCGAAGGTGGTCTAGTTGCATGTTGTTGGTTTGTTTGAGCAGCGCGTCATGCACAGGCCATGTCTCGGCCGCCCATATAATGCTGAGTTGCGGACTAGCATGGTGTATGCCTTGATACGGGTTTTGACGTCCGTTCTTGCACATAGAATGTGTTTGTGTCTACGGAAGGCTGCTCGTTCCCGCAAGGGAGGTGTGTCACCGTTTGAACCCCCATCCGGAACGATTTTCCCGCCGGAAGGGAGGCTATAAATGATAGCCGTTTTCTTGGGGTTAATGACAAGACCATGTTGCATCAACTCGGCCTCCAACTCCTTGAGGGCTGCTTGCAAGACAGATAAGTATCATCCATGAATGCTCTGCCCTGTTCAGGCGGCGGAGGGCCCCTGCAATCCCCCAACTTCCCGGCACGCTTGGCCAAGGCCTTGTCCAGCGATCTAGCAGCAAGGGCTGCGAAGACAACTGGCGAATGTGGTCAAACCCCGTTAGTCTGCTCCACAGATGTCAGATGGTCCCCAACAGCAATATTGATGTGGCGGGCGTGGAGTAGGGCTGTCCAA